CATCATGTTACCTTAGGTACGACAACCATGTGATCTTGTTACCTTAGGTACGTCAACCATGTCATCATGTTACCTTAGGTACGACAACCATGTGATCTTGTTACCTTAGGTACGTCAACCATGTCATGATGTTACCTTAGGTACGTCAACCATGTGATGTTGTTACCTTAGGAACGTCAACCATGTCATCATGTTACCTTAGGTACGACAACCATGTGATCTTGTTAACTTAGGTACGTCAACCATGTGATATTGTTACCTTAGGTACGACAACCATGTCATCATGTTACCTTAGGAAAGGCAACCATGTTATCAACCATGTGATCATGTTACCTTAGGTACGTCAACCCTGTCATCATGTTACCTTTGAAATGTCAACCATGTCATCATGTTACCTTAGGTACTACAACCATGTGATCTTGTTACCTTAGGTACGTCAACCATGTGATCATCTTACCTTAGGTACGTCAACCATGTGATCATGTTACCTTAGGTACGTCAACCATGAGATCATGTTACCTTAGGTACGTCAACCATGTTATCATGTTACCTGAGGAACGACAACCATGTGATATTGTTACCTTAGGTACGTCACCATGTGAGTATGTTACATTAGGTACGTCAACCATGTGATTATGTTACATTAGGTACGTCAACCATGTTATCATATTTCCTTAGGAACGGCAACCATGTGATCATGTTACCTTAGGTACGTCAACCATGTGATTATGTTACATTAGGTACATCAACCATGTTATCGTGTTACCTTAGGAACGGCAACTATGTCATCAAGTTACCTTAGGTACGTCAACCATGTCATCATCTTACCTTAGGAACGACAACCACGTCATCATGTTACCTTTGGTACGGCAACCATGTGATCATGTTACCTTAGGTACGTCAATCCGTCAACCCGTCAATCATTACACCTTGTTACCCTGACATTAGGGTTCGATTGTAATGAAATTTGATAATTGGGTTTCTTCCATGGACACTTATTGTTGTGGAGCACGAAATCGATATTTTATCATTTTGATAGAAACGGGAAGGTCTTTCATAACAAACTTTTTATCGGGCATTAACTATGACTGGCGCCGCCTCTGAACTCAGCAAATGGCAATGAAAATCCGTTTTGTAAGAACCGAATTACATTTTCTTGTACGATGGTCGTTGTTAAATTGGTTTTGATTGGCTGAGACGGCTCTACCTCAAACACTATTGGGCACATGTTGCTCTTACTTTGCTGGAGAGATACATAAAGGAGTACACTTTTTGAGAAACTAATGATGTCTGGGTTAAATAAAGGATAATTAGGAGATGCAATTGATGTTGAACTGTCGACATTTAGAGTTTCGTGGTTCTAGATGGCTGTCGTGGCATCTGACTTTCTGACACAACTACGGTTATAACTAGAGTTATATTGTACTTATTTTATTAATACTTAGTGGAAGTAACGCATCATGTTACCGCGGTTACTTTTGATATGTCATCGTTTAGCGAAGTGTTTTTTTATTATATTATCTGGGGAGTACATGACGTCATATCACCATGTGTACATATGACGTCACAATGATTCCGTGGGTACGTATGATGTTATCGTGGGTAAACAAGACATAGTAATCCTAACGTTTGGACTTTTGGTTTGTCATCATTTTACAGTTAGTACTTTTTTCGGGGAATCGAACCCGGACACATAACGCCAGTATGGTACAGCATTCGTCCGAGTCATCACGCTAGAATTTAAACGTTTTGTTTCCTGCATTGGACTAATTGTTATGTCTCTCTGCACGTTACTTTATTAACCCTCTTCCACTTAACAACAATTTCAAACTACGCCAAGGTTATGAAATATAGCTGAAATCATAAACAGTGTTACCATGCAGAGCATTCCTCGGGACCAATATACTAGGCGATTCGCCTACCACTATCTGCTCTGCTGCGCCCATCGCACATTTTATGCTGACTTAGTTTATCAACTATGTATTTATACATTGAACGATGTCTGTAATGCTATACGAGATGTTAAATTCAACATCTGTGGAAAGAAAAAACACTGACTTTTGAAATAGCATAATGCAGTGATAAACACATACAAGGACATGGTTGGCGATGCCACCCTGGGCTCATAGCTGTGCGCCCGGCACGGAAATATTTCTGGGAGGTCACTAGCTGCGTACGAAATTCCGTTAAACATGTTATTCTAGACGGTTATGTTCATGATATTTATTCAATTTTTAAGTACTTAAATGTCTGACTACATTTTTTTTAATTTATATGTCTTCAAAATATTTCAACGAATCGCAACGCTTCCAAGTTTTATTTCAAGTTGAATATTAGGTAATGCCGAGCCCTTTTTTTCCAAGTGAATCTTTTTGGCGGAGTGGCACTCGTTGATGTCTTATTTTATGTCAAGTTTCATTTGAAGTTGAATATTAAGTAATGCCGAGCGCTTTTTTTTAAGTGAATCTACTACTCCACTGTCAAAACAGTGTTTTTTGCGGAGTGGCACTCGTTGATGTCTTATTTTACGTTTCCTGTCGACTGTGAATAATAATTGCGTGTCCCCTAGGAGTATAGTTCTTTAAAACTTGGAGATCTCACTGGTTTCCACATCATTCGCGTAGTACGCCAGTATCTGTTCTGATTTTATGTACTGTTATGAAATTAAAAAAAAAATCTTTCCTAAACAAATTTACCATGAAATCAATCAAATCATTCATATTAATCAAACAGATTTGTAATTTCGATAATCTGACTGTGTCCGTGGTTGTTCTCGGGACTTATATTTAACATTCCGTTTTGCAATAAATAAACGGATTGGTCAAATATACGTTTTGATTGATTCACTTTTTTTTCATATACCACATTACATCTTACCTTGATGATTTGATGTATCCAGAAAGTCCTTTTTTGATATCGCTAAAAGGCTAAACAGACATCCACACACGAGCGCCACCTCACGGACACTGCAAAAATGACAGCAGAAAATTCTCAATTGCATTAATTATTCAAGCGAACGTTATCATCGCTAATAGAGAGACAGCGCCACTGGGAGAATGTTGATAAGTTACCTGGTGTGACGCTGACAGGTAAGGACAGAAAATATAATGTATTCTAATGAACTACATGGCTACGCTTCAGTTATTTGTTACGTAGACATTTTCCTGGTAAGATTAAAAGCTAATAAATTATATGATACATGACAGTAATTGAAACATAGGTCATATTGGATTTGATCAAGTGCTATATTAGTATTTCATAATTGTGATAATGATATGCGAGTTTTATGTGACTCAGTTGACATTTGGCATCATGAAATGAATTGAGAAGAAATAATATTATACATTACACTTAAATCGTTTATAAGTTTTGTAAAGGTCATCTCGTGGCAAAGATCGCTTAGTGATAAGGGTCAGTTCGACCTGGCCTCAACGTCACCGGACCAGGAACTGGCACACGTGCCTAAAACGGAAGTATGCATACACGATGACGTAGGTTTGTTGCTATTCATGAAATCAAAAACTTCCAGCGACCCTAACAGGAACAAACAAAGTGTGTTGGATGAAACCAACTGTAGGCAATGTTAGTATATCAATGGCGGACCTAGTCTGCAGCATAGCTAACTGAACACAATTAGTGTTACATGTCTTGGATGTTCTGGAAAAAATGCTTGCCCAGAATTCGCATTCTCAATCGGTAACGTCTTTTCATTCTTTGCTACCATATTATGTGGTTATAAGCCACCAGGCTATTCAAAGAGAAAATGTCATCATAAGCTGGTAAATAAAACAAGAAGATACAGAACTCGTCGGTTGCTGCCAGCACAGGTAGCATATCAACAGCGATAGGTAACAAGCCGGCAAATATCACAGATACAGATCGTTTTTTACCGTGTGTTCCGGCGTGATCCTGGCTCTACCTGGTACGCATAACGAGCCTATTAAAGTAAAACTATGGCTAGTTAATTAGTATGTAAATGTTCCGTGATTATGTACTCTGCTCAGAAGTCCACATTGGATGACGCGCCGTGTCTCACTGGGGCACCTCATCACTAACGCCCAATACCTACAGGGTCGACTGGTAGATGATCAATGATATTTGGCTATTCTTTAAATAAACCTTAAATGATTGAAAGGAAAAGGATTCTAGCCGTACAAAGATACTCGTCACCTAGTCAAATGCTTAAATCACTCCTGTCATAGAGATGATACTTAATTGTGTCCATGGATACTGTTTGCGACCGTCTTTTACTAATAGTTAGTCAATGGCTTGAGAGGATGGACGCTGGTCATTCATAACAAGTAAGAATGGACTTCAGTACCACAAAAGTGAGAGAACGGGCGTTCATATACCTAAAGTGAGAAATTGGACGTTAGTAATTAGTAACGTGGGGGAGTGGACGTTAGTAAGTACTAATGTGGGGGAGTGGACGTAAGTAAGTACTAACGTAGGGGAGTGGACGTAAGTAAGTACTAACGTGGGGGAGTGGACGTTAGTAAGTACTAATGTGGAGGAGTGGACGTTAGTAAGTACTAACGTGGGGGAGTGGACGTAAGTAAGTACTAACGTGGGGGAGTGGACGTTAGTAAGTACTAACGTGGAGGAGTGGACGTAAGTAAGTACTAACGTGGGGGAGTGGACGTTAGTAAGTACTAACGTGGAGGAGTGGACGTTAGTTATTACAAAATGGAACACTGGACGTTAGTTATTACTAACATGGAACATTAGACGTTAGTTATTACTAACATGGGACATTGGACGTTAGTTATTACTAACATGGAACGTTGGACGTTAGTTATTACCAACATGGAACATTGAACGATAGTTATTACTTACATGGAACATTGGACGTTAGTTATTACTAACATGGAACATTGGACGTTAGTTATTACAAAATGGAACACTGGACGATAGTTATTACTAACATGGAACATTGAACGTTAGTTATTACTAACAGGGAACATTGGACGTTTGTTATTACTAACATGGAGCAGTAGACGTTTGTTATAACTAACATGGAGCATTGGACGTTAGTTATTCCTAACATGGAACAGTAGACGTTAGTTATAACTAACGTCTACTGTTCCATGCTAGTTATAACTAACGTCTACTGTTCCATTTTAGTAATAACTATCGTTCAATGTTCCATGATAGTAATAACTAACGTCTAATGTTCCATGTTAGTCATAACTAACGTCCAACGTTCCATGTTAGTAATAACTCACGTCCAATGTTCCAAGTTTGTAATAACTTACGTCCAATGTTCCATCTTAGTAATAACTAACGTTCAAAGTTCCATGTTAGTAATCACTAACGTCCACTGTTCGATGTTATTAATAACTAACAACCAATGTTGCATGTTTGTAATACCTAACGTCCAATGTTCAATGTTAGTAATAACTCACGTCCAATGTTCCAAGTTTGTAATAACTTACGTCTACTGTTCCATGTTAGTAATCACTAACGTCCACTGTTCCATGTTAGTAAAAACTAACGTCCAATGTGCCATCTTAGTAATAACTAACTTCCAATGTTCCATTTTAGTAATAACTATCGTTCAGTGTTCCATTTTGTAATAACTTACGTCCAATGTTCCAGGTTAGTATTACTAACGTCCAATCTATCTTTAGTATTACTAACGACTACTCTCTGATATTAGTATTACTAACATCCACTCTCTAACATTAATAATTACTAACGTCCAATCTATCTTTAGTATTACTAACGACTACTCTCTGATATTAGTATTACTAACGTCTACTCTCTATCTAACATTAGTCATTACTAACGTCATCTCTAACATTAATACTTACTAACGCCCACTCTCTTACATAAGTAATTAGTAACGTCCACTCTCTATCTAACATTAGTAATTCCTAACGTCCACACTCTCATGTTATTAATTATATACGTCCACTCTCTATCATTAGTAATTACTAACGTCCACACTCTCATGTTATTAATTATATACGTCTACTCTCTATCTAACATTAGTAATTTCTAACGTCCACACTCTCATGTTATTAATTATATACGTCTACTCTCTATCTAACATTAGTAATTCCTAACGTCCACACTCTCATGTTATTAATTATATACGTCTACTCTCTATCTAACATTAGTAATTCCTAACGTCCACACTCTCATGTTATTAATTATATACGTCTACTCTCTATCTAACATTAGTCATTACTAACGTCATCTCTAACATTAATAATTACTAACGTCCACACTCTCATGTTATTAATTATATACGTCTACTCTCTATCTAACATTAGTAATTACTAACGTCCAATCTCTAACATTAGTATTACTAACATGGAACATTGGACGTTAGTTATTACAAACATGGAACATTGGTTGTTAGTTATTACTAACATGGAACAGTGGACGTTAGTTATTACTAACACGGAACATTGGACGTTAGTTATTACTTAAATGGAACATTGGACGTTAGTTATTACTAACATGGAACATTGGACGTTAGAGAGTGGACGTTAGTAATTACTTATGTAAGAGAGTGGGCGTTAGTAAGTATTAATGTTAGAGAGTGGACGTTAGTAATTACTAATGTTAAAGAGTGGACGCTTATAATTACTAACATCAGATTGTGGACCTTAGTAATATTTATGTTAACGAGTGGACGCTTATAATTACTATTGTTATATTGTGAGATTACTAATTTTAGAGAGTAAAAGTAAATAATTACTAACATGCTAGTGTGGACGTAAGTAGTTACTAATGTTAGAGAGTGGACGTTAGTAATTACTAATGTTAGAGAGTAAAAGTAAATAATTACTAACATGCTTGTGTGTACGTTAGTAATTACTAATATTAGAGCATGGACGTTAATTATTACTAACATGAGAGTGTTAGAGAGTGGACGTTAGTAATTACTAATGTTAGAGAGTGAGCGTTAGTAAGTATTAATGTTAGAGAGTGGACGTTAGTAATTACTAATGATAGAGAGTGGACGTTAGTTATACTAATGTTAGAGAGTGAGCGTTAGTAATTACTAATGTTAGAGATTGGACGTTAGTAATACTAATGTTGGAGAGTGGACGTTAGTAATTACTAATGTTAGAGAGTGGATGTTAGTAATACTAATATCAGAGAGTAGTCGTTAGTAATACTAATG